GCCGGTAGGGGTGGGGGACCAACTTTTAGTCTAGGATAAAGAGATCTATCTCGGGGGGCAGAGCCAAGTATACTCACAGTGGTACTTCCCCGGGTGTTTCTGACGTCAACTGTTGCTAGACTGACTCGAAAATGCCTTACGATGAGTATGCCCTGAGACGCTATAGAATGCCTGCAGATGTGCAACGTTCCACTCGTCCAACACAATTAAGTTGAATTAACTTATTTAATGATTTTGCACATAGTACTTGATTGATACTAATGAAGTAATCCTTTTTGTGTTTTTTTTTTCAAAATAATTGGGTCATTTTTCAATCTATCCTTGTGCAGGGGCCGTGCCCATCTTCTCTGTATCGTGACAAATTCAGTATTTGGCAAATTGGCACTATTTGCACAATTTGAAAGCTCATGTGTATGGCAATGCAGCTGAATGCAGAGCAGTTCTGACAGTGTAGACTATTCGCAGACAGAAGGCGTGGACCTGCTTGTCTCAACAGTCTGGATCTTGACTGTCTGGGCTAATGCGCACAATAGAAATGATTGCCCACCCCCTCCCCCCTCCCCCTACCTCCACCCCACCGCAACTGGAATAGAGACGGGAGAAGTCAAGATGTAAAAGACGCCGGAATAGAAATGGCTGTCCGTCAAGACAGAGAGAGAAGATGAGCATGATCGCTGTGCAAGGATGGCATGTGCAAATTGAGAAATGGTCCAAATTGTGAAAAAAGGAAAAATGAAAGCAAAATTAGCTAATCGTAAAAGGGAATACCAGACTGCTCTGCAATGTTATCACAGAACCATGAATTGAGTCTAACAGAGAGACTGAAAAAGGTTGTAGGAACTGAAGAAGGAAAGTCTTTGAGGTGTGGCTGTGATATCTTCAAAGTTGCTATGCTATGACATCCAGTGTTTTTTACTCTTCATCCCATCCTTGTCATCCTTGTCATCGTTGCAATCGTTGTCATCCTCGTCATCCTTGGCATCATTGTCATCCTTGTCATCCTTGTCATCCTTGTCATACTTGTCGGTGTCATCGCACTCGTCAGTGTTCTTAGCCTCATTATCCTTGTCAGCCTTGTCATCCTTGGCACCTGCCCCTTGTCAGTCTAGTCAGCCTCATCAGCCTCATCAGCCTCATCGGCCTTGTCAGCTTTGTCATCTTTGGCACTTTGCCCTTGTCCTCCTCATCAACCTTGTCAGCCTTGTCATTTTGTAGTCTTCCAAGCATGTGGGCCGGAAGGACTGGTGCATGTGCAGCAGTTTTGCAGCTTGTGAGGTTTGCTGCATTTTTTTCCACACAGTGGGCCAGTGTTGTTACCTTGCCGCCCGTGGAACAGTTCAAACTCCTTCGAATGCTTCCAGCAACTTCAGTTGAAACTGAGGGAAAAAGGGATCGAACCTGGTTACAACCCTAGAGAGCAGAGTTACAACACCGCATCCACCAGTGTTGGAACTGTACTCTGGCGTTTGTGAGGAGGAGATGGTCTGCCTGTTGGTGGGTTTTTGCAATCTCTTGGAACATAAAGTCGAAAGTAAAATGACAGTTGTGGCTCAAACTTCATAGTTGAGGAAGATTTGGGCTTCTGAGGCTTTGGCCAAATGAGCCAGTAGGCTAGACTGAAGATGGTAAACCATCATAGGACAGAAGGAACAGGGGTGGGGGGGGGAGAGGGAGGTGGGGAGATGAAGAATTGGGGGGGGAAAGGGGGCGGGGGGCGGGGAGAGAGGGAGGTCGGGGAGATGAAGAATTGGAATGACAGGATGCTGCTGTTAGACAGCACATTTGATGTTTTCAAATGCGTTCAGGTTAATCGAGGAGGAGCGGTGCTGGGAGCAAGAGATACGTCGCCAGGACCTGGATGATCAAGGGCAACATGCGGCTGATGCTGGATCTTCTGACAGAGGAGAATCCATGGAGACGAGGCCTTCGATGGGAACTCAATTTTCGGCGTTGATTGAAAAGAGCTTCAACAAAATATTCCACCGGATTGAGTTGCGTGTATGTATGCTAAGAAACAAAAGCCGCCTCTAATTGCACAAGAACCCTCTGAGTTTTTGTCTGTTTGGGTGGGAGGGCCATGGCAACAGCCAAGGTTAAGGACCCGGAGAAAGGAAGACAAAAAAAGGAGGGAGGGGGAGGGGCCCGGGGAGAGGGAGGAGGTGAATGGTGGGAAGAGAGCTGGATGCCTTGCTGAACCGCTTATGCTGTACCCTATCCTATCGTATTAACGCAGGAATGGAAAATTTAGGACTCAGTCCTTGATGGAGGTAATGCTTACTCCGATCAGTGGCTCACAAATTCACAATTATATTTAATTATTATTGTATATAACAGTCCTCTCTTTCATCTGGTCTGTCTGCAACTCGTCTCCCTCATCAGATATGTTATGATCCTGGCCAATTTCGACGTACATATTCATGAGAAAGTACCATGGTGTCGGATTGCAAAACGAAATGAATGAACTTGAGAGGTGAGAGAGGGAAGAAGAAGAAGAAGAAGATGGAAGAAGAAGATGAAGAAGAAGAAGATGTACACCAGCAAAGACCAATGGGAATTCCCTTCTTCTTCACCAACACTCTCCTCCTCCTTATCTCCTCCCCTCTTATTCAAACAAGAAATAATAATAATAATAATGTTGAATGGCTGAACCAGAATCAATGTCCAAATCCCTCTTCTACTTCAGGTATCACATGAGGTCCACCATAGCCATGGCCACCCTTCTTCCTCCTCCTTCCATGGTCGAGGCTATGGCGGACTACCAGGGCATTGCCCTACTGTGCAAAGGACAACACAAAGCAGCTATGGCTGCTCTAACTCAGGCCGCCATGTCTGACTCTGCCTCGAAGCTTCTTGGTGTAGCTCTGCCCCAACTGGGGCCTTCCAGATGCAGCGCCCACCGCGGTGATGAAGATGGCATCCACCATAGCCATGTAAGTACCTCTGGCACTCTCCCTCTTCCTCGTCCTTGTCCTCTTCTCGCGGTCCTTGCTCCTTCCCCAGCAGTGCTGCGCTGAGTGCGAGCTCTGCTCCAGCCGGCGCTCCAACCAGTGAGTCGCCAAACTTGCTAACCGACAATGAGGAGGAGCACTTTGCTCCTCCTGGAGATATAGCGGCTTGCTTGCCTCTTGGCAAGTGACTTCCTAGGCCGCGCGGCCTCCAAGCAACCGGTACCTCCTCCCTTTCGGATGGAAACATCATTGCAGACTCTGATATTGCCTGTACAGGCCCTAGGCTCAGACTGGTACCCGCCTAGACCTAACCTACAACTACTGGGACTCTGAAAATGCCAATTTTTGTCTTCTTCTGCTCGGCCTCGAGTACCCTGCAAATCTACCTCTACTTGGTGTGGTGCCGGCCTACCTGCTACTTGAGTGTTTTCCGCTGCTCTAAGTGTCGCGGGTCTCTTTCCCCGCCACTTGACTGTTTTCACCATTGCAAACCTCAATGTCACGGCCACAGGTAAGTACTGGTCGCACACACACTCAGGTCGCACACACTCTCAAGCCGACAAGCACTCAAACAGGCATGCAGACCAGCAAGCACGCACACACACAGACTTAGAAATCAAATTATGGTACCCTCCTTAAAACCCCATTTATACCCCCCCGCCCCCCCTTCTCTTCAACAAACAACACTGAAGAGTTAAAAGGAGACCAGATTCGGGTTGCTCTCAGTGAGTGCGGAAACCCACCGCCACCAAAAAAGAAGAAGAAGAAAAAACTCCAAACGTTTTTACATGCTTGGGTGATCCAGGCGGCAGACTCACCGGGCTTGCCGCCTGGCCGCGCATGCACACAGTGATCTTTCCTTGTTTTTTTTTTTATACGGCAGTACAGAACCTCACGGTTCCGGCTCCTACCATTGTGGGGAGCAACAGTCTGGTTCCTCTTTTTTTTTCTTTTTAAAAAGGGCGACGGCCTTGAGATATTATCATTGAGCTGACCGGCCCCAAGCAATTCGTTAGTAGTTGGTGTTCCATCATCTGGATTCGAACACAGGTCTGTATTTCAACAGTTCATGGGTGTACCCACTGAGCTAGGCTCTTGGGTGCGCAACAGTCTGGTTCCTATTCCCCCGGCAAGTCAATAAAAATACATTTAAGACTCACACACGCTCCTCTCCATTACGGTTGAGAGGTCCGAGTGGACGGCATTGATGTGGTTCGTTTCTTGATTTTTGTCTGTCATCCTTACACGGGGGTTGTACTAATGTTCTCTGCATCACTCCAACTTTGCCGCATGTTACGGACGACTATGTTTGTGTGTGTTAGCTTGTGTGATTGTCCTTCTTGCTGTTTGAGATATAGCAGTGTTTGTGAGTGTTAAACGGCTAGAACATCGACCACGCAAACTTGAGAATCGAAATCGAGCGGCTCGGAAAATTCAGAGGCTCAGGCCGACCAGACCAAAATAGCTGGTGGTGTCCGCCAAAAGAAAAAAAAAGAAAATGCCGCGCTTGCATTTCGGCAAAGTTTGGTGTGCAGGGGGAATACACCTTGGCAGAAGGAGGCTTGGATGTACTGGTGGTCTAGCTTGTGTGATTATGACGTTGTTGTTTGACATACTGTAATCTCTGTCAGTGTCAACATGTGTGATTATGCCTTGTTGTTGTTCCACATATTGCGGTGTTTACGAGTGTTTTTTTTTTTTTTTTTAAAGGATGACGGCCTTGAGATATTATCATTGAGCTGACCAGCCCCAAGCAATTCATTAGTAGTTGGTTTTACTCGTCTACTCGTCAAGTTCCATCATCTGGATTCGAACACAGGTCTGTATTTCGACAGTTCATGGGTGTACCCACTGAGCTAGGCTCTTGGGTGGTGTTTACGAGTGTTAACTTGTGTGATTATGGGTTGTTGTTGTTGTTGTTTCGCATATTGCAGTGCCACGAGCTTAATCTTGCGACTTCGGACTTCGCATTGGCGCAGAAGCAAATAGAGGAAACTTGCATCCAGCTTACCCAGGAGTACCAGAAGATGGCCTTCAGTGATCTGGCACTTCTGGGCGATCCACGTATGGATGTGATGAATTTCTGTAATTTTCCAAACCCTCTATGAGACTACTGTTTCACTGGTAGGTCTAACCGTATAACAGTACTATAACCTTTCTTTTTTCTCTTTCTTTTTTTCTTGCTCATAGACCATGCTAATCTTCTCTGTAGCGTCCCAATTTTATCGGATGTCCTGGAGGACTACAACCGTATAACGTTATTTTGTAAGTCGCATCGTCTCACATGGTTATGCGTAATGCACATACTCATGCAGTGCTCCTGTGTTGCCCCTTTGTGTGTGCTACAGTACTACTACTATATGGCTCCTACCGTCTTCCCCCGAATAGAACGTTCGGTCATTACCCCCGTACTTTGGGCAACTTTCAGTCCGGATACAGCGACAATGACCGTTCGTTCTATTTGGGGGATGACGTCACGACGGTCCTGAGACAATCGTCGGACCAGATCACCTCCAGCTGTTGCGCGCAGGACGAGCTCGGGCCGGCAACGGAATACAGCTACCAACTTCCCCTGAAACATAATGCACTCTCATCATGACCATATGACATTACAAAGCTGGGTTGTCTACATTCATGATGAAGGTGCGCTCTGTTCTGTTTTGTCAATGATGGTGCGCCTGAAAGGTCCATGAATTGCGACTTCACAACATGCTATGCTGTAGAATAGCGCTAAGGATATGGCCTGTAGAATATTATACAGCAATTATGCTTTATTGAAAAGCATGCTGTGTTTTGTAAGTGTCCTATAGGCAGTATAGACTCTAGAGTATTACTCGTTAACTTCATAGGAGAGCTGTGTAGCATCGGTTTGCTCAACAACTAAACTATGGAGTGGCGCCGTAGAATAATCTTTTTTTAACTTTTTTTTCCTAGTTCCTTAGGGTAGTTGCTTAACAACTGTGTTTACAATCTAGAGCAGTGCTATACGATGAGTTATAATTTTATAGTTATCTTGAACAGCTCAGGATCACTGTGCTTTACAGCAGCGCTGTATGCTAATTCTTCTAATAGGCGTGCTTTGGAATCGTGCTTTCTTTTCTATTGTACAGGTTTGTACTGTGTTGCCCTATGTGGTGGTGGGGAGAGAGAAAGAGAGAGAGAGAGAGAGAGAGAGAGAGAGAGAGAGAGAGAGAGAGAGAGAGAGAGAGAGAGAGAGAGAGAGAGAGAGAGAGA